TACACCAAATTTTCTTGCAACATGGCGCAAGGGTTATCGCCGCTCAAATTATTTTTCTAGAATAGCCTCTGGTCTTATAATACTTATTTAAATATCTTTTGTTATTTTTATTATTATTTATTATTTTAATTATTTATTATTTTATTGTTGTTGTTATTATTATTATTTTATTACTGTTATTATTATTATTATTTTATTACAATATTTATATTGTTATTAACACTATTTTTATTATCATTATTAAGTTGAATAAGTATTTATTTCAGAGTAGTAATTATTACTAAATGTAAATATCTTTGACAAAACAATTTCCTTGAAATATCCTTGATGAACTCTCCTTGAAATATCCTTATATTTTAAAGAAAGGTAATTTTGAACAATTTAACCTAGAAGAGGTATTATATTAAATATAATAACTCTCCTGGGCTAGATTGTTTTATAAATAATTCAATTCAACATAGGACATCAAGTGAAATGAAATTTTCTGTTGCTGATAACTTTTTAATTATTCTTTTAGTCAAATGAGTTTTAAAATGTTCAACATCATTTTTTAAATATATTATTTTTTTGTAAAACAAAAATATTTAGTCAAATACTGTTATAACTTTTGAATATTGTGAAATGAAATAAAGTATGTAATAAAAAACAAAAAATTGATTTGTAAAATGTTTTAGTTAATTTCTAAATGTATTTTCAAAATTTTAAAGATATTTTTATGTTAATAGTTTTATGTTAATACTGTGTAATACTGGTGTTAAATTTTTGAATGCTTTAAACTGGCATTAGAATTTTTGATTGTACAGAAACTGTATACTAAATTAAAAAAAGTAATAATAAAAAAAGATGCCTTTAAAATAATCTTAATTACAAAAATAAAGTTATATTTTAGAAAAAAAAAGTTGGTGAAAATCTCAATTAGTTTGCCCATGTATTAATATAGCACATTACATTGATTTTATACTTTTTGTCTTAGTGTTGTACTCAATTATTAAATTTTATTTAATGTTGTTGAATTGGATTAACATAGTGATTGTACCATGTTACCTTTCATCAGTTATTCTTATTTAAATTCTTTGTATTCAATATCATTATCATTATTAATTTTTATAGGATTCTTTGCACAAGAGCGTCAAGCTATAAATAATTTTGAGGTAAATTTTGTGCATTTTTTACTGCTGATATAAAGAATGTTGTTTTTTATTACAGTATAGAGTTTTTAATGGTAAATGTTATTTAAATGTAGTTTAACTTTAATAGTAAATGTTATTTTTAAAATTACTTTAACAGTTTTACAGAATGGCTTTTACCAAATAAAAAACAAGTTTACATGTTCAACAATTAAAAAATAATACTAATAACTTTTTAGTTATTTTTTTTAATATATATATTTTTTATTTTAAATATTCTTTAGCAAAGTTGAAGCTTCTAAATAATAGTAAAATTGCTTATTTGACTTCTTACCATTTTAAGACACCCCTTACTCTATCCATCATCATCTTATACTCCCGTTTCTAAATTTTTTTAATTTAGACCATCCAAATACTCAAGCTCTTCAACAATTTGAATATCAAATGAAAAAAAAAAGAAAATATTAGAGTTCTCATATACTTGAATAATTTATTAAAAGTATTATAGTTTTATTATTCTTTAACACATTTTTTTTTTTCTAAAAAAAATATATTTTATAAACATGAATTGAGTGTTTACTTCTTGTAAAATTTAAACTTGTTCTTCTTTTTGTTCTAAGTGAACCTGCTGTTGGTGAAGTGAACCTGCTGTTGGGAATATTCTCTTTCAGGATATTATGTGAACCTGCTGTTGGGAATATTCTCTTTCAGGATATTATGTAAAGCATTATATAAAAAATGTTGTTAACCGTTATATGAAAAAATCTAATTGACAAAATTCTTTCTTCAGTTCAATATATTTATCAATTTGGCAACAATTTTATTTGTTTTGTAGATCTGAAAGAGAAATTATTGCATTTTGCGGTTGTTTTTGGAGTTCTTTTTGCAATCCAACATGTGATGCTATTTGTATTAAATCATCTGCATCAATTGAAGAGGAGGAAGCATCATTATTTTTATTAACATGCTCATCTATAAACATTTGTGGATGTATTTGTTCTATAATTAAAACTGAATCTATTCTCTTGTCCATCCTTTTTTTGGTAGCATTTATCATTTTTTTTTGGCTATATCAGTTTGTAACAATTTTGTTCTTCAGCTGTAATAAAATTTGCATCATTTTTACTCAATTGACAAATAGCAATTTCAAATGGTGCTTTCAAATAGCAATTTCAAATGAGTTTTTATGTCTGATTTTAAGTTTTTTTTCCCCATTATTTTAGTTGTATTTTGTTGCAAAACAGAATGCTTTGCATTCAATCAAAATAGAACACTTTGTAGCCAATCAAAACAGAATACTTTGTATCCAATTTTTAAACATTCTTATATAGCACCTCTTTAATTGGTAATAATTTGATCAAAGTCAATCTTATTCAATGTCATAACATATCCATTTTCTTTACCAAAATATTTTCTTTACCAAAATATTCAAATCAGAGTACTGATCTTCTGAGGAATCTTCTTCTATTTTTTCTTTTATATTGTCATCAATCAAATCTTCGATAACATCAAAGTGATTAAAATGAAGATTTGTTTCATGATGATATGGAAAAAGAAGTAGAAGAGCACAAAAACACACAAAATAGTAACCATAAAAAAGTGTATTTTTGATTCTGCACATCAAGGCTGTATTAAAATGTTTAGAATTTGTATTTTTGTTTTTATCTTTTTATTTTTTTAATAATAATTTTTTAATTTTTTTAAATTCTTTTCAATTTTATTATTTACATTATATTTACATTATATTTGATGCAAAGTCATATATCTTAAAATCAAAGTCATATATTTTAAAAATTATTCAAATATATTGAAAAAAATGTTTGGTTATTTTAAAGTCAAAAAACATGCAAATATATTCAAGTATCAAGTATTTGGGTACTTAAATTAAATCATCTACCTGTATTTTTGCTAGAAAAAAAATGTATATATTTTTTCAACATCTTTGCTTCCAACAAGGCTGTAAGCAACCACTATTAGAGTTGGAAGTTACTGGAAGAGAAAAGACAAAGTTTATAGAGCAAGATAACGATTGGCAGACGACTTGAAAGATTGCAAATTATATGAATCATGAAAGCAAGGCGAAGGAAGCGAATTCTGAAGAACTGATGTTCAAGGAGAAAAACTAGATGAATACAAGTTTTTGGAGCATTTAGGAACAGTCACAGAAAAATGATGAGACTTGATTGAATGACAAGTAACATTAGAATGAATTTTAATAGATGGCACAAGAGATGCTACCTTATTAGAGCAGTGCCCATTGAAAGAAGCAACATTATGACGATGTGACAATGGTTGAAGGTTGGCTGAAAGAGCAGGTTTAACTATTTTTAAAATGCATTTTTTCACCTTATCTAAAAGAGAAAAGGTATCATTCAATGATCCCCTCCAGATATGGCACCAGTATTCCATACAAGGACAGATTTGAAATTTATAGAGATATAGAATAGAATCCTGAGTAAAAAAGTGTTAAGAGATGTAACCTTAGCAAATGCTAATTTTGCAATAGATTTGATATAGGGTTTCCAAGAAAGATCAGAACTAAGAGTTAATCCTAGAAGATGAAGGGTAGATGACTCATCAAGTGTATTACCATTCATAAATAAAGGAAGATCTAAATTATTGTGGTAACGATTGACTGAAAAAAAAAAGGTTTTATCTGAAATAAAGTTCACCAACCACTGTGAGCTCCATGCTGTAGCAGAAGATGCTTTTCAAGCTCAAATACCCCCTCCAAGCAATCAGAGAGTGTTGGCTTTTTATCATGACAAGAATAAATGGTAGTATCATCAGCAAACAATGGCACCTTAGATGTGAGAATATCTGGAAGATCGTAAATGCCCAGGCCAAGTATGAGATTATTAATTGTCTTTACGAATTAAAGGAAAATAACCATCAACACTAAAATCACAAGGCGACACTGCTGAACTCAAATTAGTCTCACAAAGAGCAAGTAGGTCTGGTGAACTTTGTAGGAGATAAAAAGAAAAGTTACTTCAAAGACCACAAATATTAGTGAATGATAGGTTCAGAGAACTTGGTGATGGCGATGGTTTTTTGTGTTTTAAAGTTTTTGGTACTTGCGTCATTTTTAAATTTGTTAAAAAACTTGACTCAAAGCATTGATAATACTCAGTACATTATATATATATTAATAGTCCAAGCAATTGCCTCATTACTATTAATAAACCCTAAGCCTTAATCAGGCCTTACGATAAAGCGTCGGGCGATGTGAATTTTACGTCGTCCAAGAGCGATTTTGCGTGTAGCTAGGGCTATTTGCGTCGTTCAAAAAATTTTTTGTTTGAGTATATTTAAAGATATTTTTGAGCGGAATTTTAATGAAGTAATTTACGATTATTTTAACATTTAATAAAGTATTTTAAAAACCGCACGCAGTTGAAATAAAAGTTTGAATTTAAAAAAATTAAATATGCTCATTATTTACAAGTAGAAAAAATTCAAAAATTAAAAAAAAAAGTTTAAATCTTTTAAGCTAAAATTTAATTAAAATTATTCAGCAATAGCAAAGTTGTCGATAAAACTGAACAAAAATACTTTCTTTTAGTTTTAGATTTTAAACTTAAATAATTATTTTACGGGGGTTTGTTAGGTTTTAAAATTATTCCATAGATTTAAAAATATTTATTAACTGTTAGACGTATTAAAAGTATTTAAGAGTAATTTTGAAGAAACATTTTAAAAATTGGTGAGGGCAAATAAAAAAATTAAAAAGGATTAATATTAAAACGGATTCTACTAGATTCAATAAAAAAGTACAGTTATTAAAATTTTTGTAAAAAGTAACAAAAAAATTACTTAAATAATAACAATCGCTTTTATGTTAAAAGTTACCGAAACTCAACGAAGCGTGCTCAAGAACAGCTGCTGAAAAATAGAACGTCAATAGTTTTTCGAATAATTTTTAAGAATAATTTTTAAGAATAATTTTTTCGCTGAAATATTTCTTTTATACCTATAAGATTTTTATTCTAACATTTTATTTTACTAGAAATAAAATTCCTTGTTAACATTAAAAATTATTCAAAACGTTCGTTTAAGTTTTTTATTAATACGAGTGATTGTGCTTATCAACCGCTTTTTGAAAATAAATAAAAATAAATAAATAAATATTATATAAAATCGCTTGTAAAAATATTAGCTATTGCACAGTTTTTAATCGTACAATATTAAAATTTCCAGTTTATTACTCGCTGACTTTTTAAAAAGAAAAAATAATTATTTAAAAAACTTTAAGTAACATATTTAAGAAAAAAAAAAAATCAAATATTAGCATATTTTATAATCTTTTTTAAATTTAAGTTATAATGTTTTTTATTCGTTTAGTATAGACAAAACGTGACAAACGTCGAGAAAATAAACAAATGTTTTTACATTTTAAAAAACGAAACATTCCAAAACATTTTTAAATAATAACATTTCTACATAAACGATTTAAAGTAGTTTTGCGGTAATTAAGTAAATTGGTGCAGTTAATGTCGATAAATATGAAAAGCAAATAAAAAGAATTTAATGACGTCAAAAATCACGTCGTGCTTATGCGTCGCGCAGTTCTTATTCATCGCAAGGCCTGCTTAATAAAGGTCTCCAATTGTGGTCTCGACTATGCACACCAAAAGTACGAACAGGAACACCATCCATGTGCAACATGGCACTGTTAATACTTGGATATTTTTCAGCTGACTATGGAATCAGCCTCTCTGAGAGCTACCACAAAGTTCGGGAAACCTGACTACCAGCTGGCCTCAAAACCATAAAACCGAGTTTTAGACCTTTAGCCTTATTAGGAGATAATAAAATGAGTTACCTAGTCATAAAACCAGAGACACAAGCAATACCCATGCATTGAGTCAAGAAGATCCAGCATTTAACATCCTATACTAGACACAATGTATTAAAAATACATCTGCGTCAGCATAATAGATAAAAAGCCCCAAGGCAGGGGGTGTTTAAAGTCGGAGTTGGCTTCTCCTAGCCTTTGCCTAAAAAAGCGTATCCAACAAGGTAGAAGGACATGAAACTGTTTGTACTGGGTTACATGTTACCAGTAGCAGGATAACCTAACCTGATCTGAATTAGGTCATTATTATTAGGTGAGACTATTTCTTGTAGTAACCAAATGGTGCATAGAATGCATTAATCAAGAGTAATCAGTTTACCAGAGGATTTTTTAAAATTGAAACTTCTAACAGATCTTAATTTTTTTTTTTAATTTAAAGTATTTAAAAAAAAAAACAATATAGAAGTTTTAAATGAAGTTTTAAATTTAGTTGTTAAATCATAGTTTAAGTTCTCAGTTAAAGTTAAAAGTTTCTTAAATTTTTTTGTGGCTTTATCTAACAACAAAAGCAGCTACAACAACTTAGAGCGCAAATGTTTTACCTTAAATAATGCTTTATTTGGCAGAAGAGCAAATGGCATAATTTGCATTATTAGAAGAGTATTAATTATCAGAGAATAAAATTCTCAGTTGTACACTCTGTATTAAAAAGAGCATGTTTACTAGTATATCAATATTAAGATAGAGATATAGCAGCAACCTGAAGAAATATTTATCAAAAAGAAAACACCAAAAACGAACAATTCACTATAAAACTACCAAATCCTAACATTACTTTGTATTGAAATGCTATTTTGTATTGAAGTTCTATGTTATATGGAAATGTTATTTCCATATAAGATTAAATGTATTGAAGTGTTAATTTGGATTGAAATGTTATCTGTACGATTATTCATAGTAATAAATTAAGCTATATTAATAATAGTTTTCTTTATTTCATAAAAGTAATAAATTCAATTAATAAATTCTTTTGCTTTTAAATATTTAAAATGTATATTTTTTAACGAAATTTTTTAATTCAAATTAACTTTAATTTTAGCCCTTATCAAAGAACATTCATGATGGAAGGTAACTTTTTTTTGTTTTTTATGTCAATATTATTTTTAATTACATTTAAAATAATATCGAAATATGTCTTAACTATATTTAAAAGATTTTTTTATATATTTATTTAATGGTATTTATGGACATTTTTTATTTAGTCCTAGTACTGCATCTGTTCCATACTCGGTGCCAAATTTTAGAATACTTCTTTTTGAGCCAGCATTTCTTGATTTCAAAGAACAGTAAGCATGACTTTTTTTACATTTGACTTTTTTAGTTTTTTGAATTTGTGAATAAAGTAATGTTTTTTTGTAACTCATTGTTACATTTGAAATAAAAAAATATATATTTTATTTTTAAAAATATTGTTTAGGCCTGTTGGAATGCCTAATGTACGACCGGTTATGCTTTCTAATCCAAGTGATAAAAATGATATAGAAATTGCAGCTGTTATTGTGCAGCCTCCATTTC